ATAATTCCCGCCATTTTTTTTTAAATTTAAATTTTTTTGTAAGTTATTTAAAAAATTTTATTTATTAACAACATAAATATGAAAAAAAAATTATTTATTTATTTATTTGTACGTTAATAATCTTATAATAATAATAATAATAATAATAATAATAATAATTGGTTGTTTTTTTTTTTTAGGCACGATAAGGATTAAATGATAATTTACAAACATGTAGAAAAACCCAAAAAGTAAAAAAAAACCTGAACTATAACACAGTCAGCACACTCTATCGGATTAAAATGAAATTATTTATTAAAATGACGTAAGCGCAATATTTGATACGCTAGCAAAGGAATATATATATACAAGAGGTAAAGAAAGATCAGGTGATGATGTAATTTTTTTGAAATGTTAAAAACGAAATGCATGGAAATATTGTTTGTTATTAACAAGGCCCGTAGCTATATCACTGGAAGTATTTGTTCTTTGTAACAACTTGCTAAAGTAAAATAACGGTTCGAATAGTTTTGTTTTGGTTGTTGTTGTTGTTTGTCGTTATATATCGTGTTTGTTAATTGTGTGTTGTTGTTGTTTGTCGCGATTTTTTAATAAAAGAAGGAAAAAAAAACGCGGAAAGGTATCGCGAAATATTCATGCGCCAATTTTTTTTTTTTTAGCGGTTATTAAAGGGATTAACGGCCTTTTTATAAGTAAGTTATTATCATTATTATTATTATTATTATTATTATTATTATTATCAAACATTTTTATTTATTTACTTATTTTTTCTTCTTGTTTTTTTTTTTTTTTTTTAAATTGTACAAAGGGTTGAAACGTTTGTTGTTGTTGTTGTTGTTTTCTTTTTTGTTTGTTTGTTTGTTTGTTCTTTTGTTCTTCCATTTTTTTTTTTTAAAGGAAAATCAGGATACGTACGTATGATTTCACTTCCTTGATATTTTTCCTACTTTTGTCTTTTTCTAACACATTAACGTATTTCATTCTTTCTTATCACACAATAACGGGATCAAACCCTTATCAAACCCCCCTTATTCCCAGAACCTAGAAAATTTAAAAATAACAAAAAATCGTGGCAGGAGGGTGTGGTGTGGTAATACAAATTTTTTATTTTTTTATTTTGTTGTTATTTAAAAAGGCGTGACGTTAGTTGTTAATCCACCTGAAATAATGAATTGATCTACTTTTTTTTTTTTTTTGTTAACATTTTTGCAATAGCAAATTTTGCTAATTTTCATTAATATTTATATTTATTAAATTTTCTTTCAATATACGATAGAAGAATAATAGATAGAACGATGATTGTTTTGTTTTGTTTTGTTGATTTTGTCGTATTATTTGCTAACTCGTTTAGGAAAATTGAAAGTGAGGTTCAATAGAGGTCAAAGGTTAATTTAACGGGGGAGGGGGGGAAAAAGCTTTTTCGTTTTGTTGTAAATGACCACCGAACGATTAAATACTTTAAATGATAATTATTATTATTATTATTTGGTATTATTGTTTGTGTCGTCCCCTTTACTAATGTTTGTTGTCACGATGATGATGATGATGATGATAATGATGATGATGTTGCAATTCTTTTTTTATTTTATTAGTTGTAAAAAAAAAAATTTTTTTTTTTTTTCTAATGTCATTTTTCACGAGTACGTAAGTTACGACAAATCGAAGGACAAAATAATAATAATAATAATAAAGTAAAAATGAAATTGTTATTATAAAATAACATTGACAAATTGAAATTGTTATTATAAAATAATTAAATTGATAAAAATTATTATTATTATTATTATTATTATTATTATTATTATTATTTTACCATTTTCGTTAAGGTTTTTGTTAAAGTCTCGGTAAAAGTGGTTTTTTTTTTTAAATTAATGACGTCATTGTTATCAATACCGGTTTCGTTTTTGTTTTAGGTAAATTTTTATATCCTTAAAAAAAATTTTTAATTCGACAAAAAATTATTAAGGGAATTTTTTACCGCCTTTTTTTTTGTCGTGGAAGAAGACAATTTTTTTTTTTCATTTGTCACAAAAAAAAAATTGATTCGAAATATATGAGAGTTGCATGAAACTCTAATTAAATTATGAAACGTTTTAATTTAAGAAAAAAAAAAAAAAAGAGTTTAAGGTCGTGGCACGAAATTAAAATTTTAAATTTTTTCTCTCTCTCTCTCTCTCTCTCTCACTCTTTCTCTCTTGATAATAATAATATTATTATTTAAATGAAACGTACCTGAAAAATTATACAAACGTAATAAAGTTTAGATTTGTTTTTTTTTTTTTTTTTTTTTTGAATTTTCGTTAGATTTTGTCGGATAAAAATTTGTCGTCACGATAATGACGTGTATTTAGAAAACAAAAAAAAGAAAAAAATCTAGGAATACGTTTTTTACATTCGGAAGTATAAATAAAATTTAAATTTCAAACGTTTCTTATGGAATTCGTGTTTTTGATTTTTTTTTTTTTGGGGGGGGGAGGGGAAGGGGAGGGTGGGGTTTTGGAATATTATTATTATTATTTAGGATTCACATTATGAAATCCTTGTTTTGTTGGCTCACGTAACATGAAAATGTTGCATAATCAACTTTTTTTTTTTTTTTCTGAACGGCGTGACATTGGCATGAGAAACGATGGTATGTAGGTCGACGGTCATATACGTTTTTTTTTTTAACGCTCGGACTAACATTCTCCACCACCACGTTTGTTTTTAAATTTTTTTGTTTTTAAACAAATCGTTTTTCCAGTTATTTCATTTGTTGTTGTTGTTGTTGTTACGATTGATAATAGATAAGCGGAAATCTATAAGAGAATAATTATTTAAATAATAATGATAATAATAAAATGGCGGAAAACTTTTACTGTTCGTTAACATTTTTTTTTGTTTGTTTAAACAAATTTAAAAGTTTATACAAAGATTCTAAAATTTTTTTAATTAATAATTATCGTTTGCTTTTATTTGTCTTTCGTTGTTTATTATTATTATTATTATTATTATTATTATTATTATTATTATTATTATTATTATTATTATTATTAATGTTTATGTAACGGAAATTATTAACGAGTTTAATCGTATTCAGATATTTATTTATATTTTTTTTTTTCCAAAAGTTGGTAGTGACGCCTTTTGTTTTGTTTAATTACGAATTATAAAACCGACTGGGAATTTTTCCAATTATTATTATTATTATTACTATTATTATGTGAATAATACGCGGTTGGAGAGGTTGCGGTAGGGGGTTGAAGGGGGAGGAGGAAATTTTATTTTTCTTTGTATTCATTTTTCGTTTCTTGCAGAAGTTGAAACAAAAAAAAATTAAAATTTTAATTTTAATTTAATCTCAGCGTTTTCGTTTTTTTTTTTTAAATTTATTTTATTCGATTGAACGTGGCAGTAGTAGTTGCAATGGTTTATTTACATATAATTTACGAAAAGGAAATAATTGCACGTGAAATCCACGTGTGTGAATTTTTTTCGTTGTTTACGTTAGAGAGAGGATAATGTCGTAATTTCGTTTCCATTTTAAAAATTATTCTATGGAATATGTATTTGTTTATACGTTTTTTTTATTACTCTATGAAATTTTTCATAAATGAAAAAAAAAAAAAAAATCATCACACGTGATTTACATTAGACTCACCTGTTTTCGAGTCCTTACTTTTCTAACACCCACCTTTTAATGCTTTTGTCTCGTGTTTAAATTATTTAATAATGATAATAATGATAACAACAACACTCGTGTTTAAATTATTTATTAACGACCCTTTTCTCTCTCTCTCTCTCTCTCACACACATTTCTTTATTTAAATTTAATTTTATCGTTCCTTCCACGATTTTTATAAATCATTTCGTGTGATGATAATAATAATTTATCGATTTTTTTTTTTTTCTACAAGCACGTGAATTTTATTAATTTGAAAATTATTAAACGTGGAAGGAGCGACGGATCGTTTTGATTATTTTTTTTTGTATTCATTCTCTTTTCCACTTCCGGTTTTTCTTTCATCTTTTTTTTTTTTCGAAAAGTTTTTCCTCGTGAAAATTACGATCTATCTTATTTAAATTGTGTACTTGTGAGTTTTTAATGGTAAAAAAAATTGTCTTCTTCCACTTTCGATGAGTTTTGTGTGTTTTCTCTAACGGAATCGAATGATTGTATGCGAATAGAAGAAGTCGATGATGTTTGTTTAATAAAAAACTTTTATTTACTTTTTTTGTAAAGATGTTTGTTTGCACGTGTATGTGTGCGTGTTTGTTTGTATTCTTCAAAATATTAATTCAACTCTCGAAAAATTTTTTATTTACTTATTTACGTGCGTTAACAATTACAATGTGTAATTAACGAGTTAACACTTAATGAGTTTAAAAATAAAATAATATTTAACGTTTTGTTAAATAATAATAATAATAATTGGAAAATGGAAAATTTTTTTTGTTTGTTTGTTTGCCCGCGTAAATTATTGTATTAAATAATGCCACCGGAATTTTTAATAATTTTTAAGATAAATTAAAATAATTTAATACTTATTTTGTTTTAATTACATTACGTGACGTCATTTCCCTCTTAATAATATTTTTATTAAAAAAAAAAAACTTTTACGAGGAAATTAATAATAATAATAATAACTCGTTTTTAGGTTTTGAGATTTATGACGTCACATTTTTATTTGTTATTTCCATTCCGATTGCAACTTTTTCTTTTTTTCTCCAGGGATTCCTACTTTTTAATATAATAATAATAATAATATATATTTATATTAATATCGAAAAGTAGTTCATGGTTAAGGTGATTTAATAATGTCATTCAACACGACGAAAGTAATTTAACTTAAATTTACCTCCTGGCACCGCCGTAAAAAAAAAAATATATGTATATACACGCATGTAAAAACGTTTAAATTATCGATTTAATAATTATTTATTTATTTATTTATGTACTTATGTATTTATTTATTTATTTATTTACAGGTTGTTAATAAATCCGTTTACGTTAATATAAAATGCGGAATGCATGCGGTACGGCGCTCAAGTACGTTTTATTCTTTTCAAATCTCATTATTTGGGTAAGATTCACTCGTCATTATCATTATTATTAATTGTTTTACCCCCCCCCCACCCCTCAGAAAATAAATAAATTAATAATTATTAATTTTATTATTATTTCAATAAAAAAATGAAGATCGGAGGTTTGGTTGCCGTCGGTATAGCGACATGGCTTTTAGTTAATAGCAGTTCAATAAGAAATTTCTTAGGCACTAATTTATTATCGAGTAAGTAATGATAATAATAATATTTATTTAGTTTTAAAAAAATGTCTGAACATTTCTGAACAAAAAGGAAAAAAAAATTTGTGGCGTGAGAAGAAGATTTAAATGCACCGGTTAACCCATGGAAAACAATCGGAATTGAATCATTTAGTATATATATAAATATTACGTAATATTATTATTATTATTATTATTTGGTTATCAGAGCGTTAAAATTTAAATTTTAATCTTGTTGTTGTTATAATAATAATAATAATAATTTTTAGGTGCCGTGTATATATTATTAGTTACTGGAGTCGTTGCCTCTTTGATGTCTTTTTTCGGATGCATAGGAGCAATAAAAGAAATTAAATTTATTTTAGTTATTGTAAGTAAAAAAGAGAAAATTTAACGAATGATAATAATAATAATTATTACGGTTATAAAAAATGTTACCCGCGATGACTTAATAATAATAATAATAAGTTTTTTTTTCTTCCTATTTCCAGTATTTTATTATATTGTTTATAATTTTTACTGTGATGTTAGCCGGAGGTATATTAGGGTACATATTTATCGAAACTGTTAAAAACACGATGGAAACGGAAATGTACAACACAATGAAACTTTATGGTAAAACAATGGAAGTGACGAGGGATTGGGATCACATACAAACAACGGTAAAAAAATTGAGTTATTTTGTGGGGGGATGGGAGGGGAGTGGTGGAACTCAAACATTTTTTTTTTTTTTACATAGTTTTCATGTTGCGGAGTAAACAATCAAAAAGATTGGTTAAAATTAGGAAACGTACCAGAATCTTGTAGGATAAAACCAACTGAGCATCATCAGGTAATTTATTTATTTATTTATGTAAAGGTATTTATAGTTAATAAATTATTTAATTATGAATAATTTTATTATAGGTGGCCACTTCTGAGTTTTATGTTGTCGGTTGTCTTAACACGACAATCACTTACATACAAAAACATAGCGAACTTATCGGAGGATCTGGAATAACGATAGCTTGTTTAATGGTTAATGACTTTTTTTATTAATAATTTAATAAAATAATTTACCGGAAGTTCCTTTTTTCCTTCTTTTATAGATATTGGGAATGTTTTTTTCATGGAGTCTTTACATGATAATCGAATGACGACGATGACGACTTTGATATTATATAATTATCACGTGATTTATTTAATTTAAAAAAAACAGTATTTCGTTTATTTAAATTTTTTATACTATTGTTAATATTTTTTTATGTACATAAATAATTATTTAATTGGATTTTGTATGTACTTTGTATAAAATAACTTAAATTGTTTATTATTATTATTATTTTTTAATGTAAATATTTGAATAATTAATTTAATTTTTTTTATATATTGATTTTTTTTTATATATTGATTATGTTTATTATGTTATCCTTTGGCTAAAATAATTATTTCTAATGTTTATATTGAGTTTCAATTTAAAAACAAAAACAAAAATGGCGGTTAGTTAAATCGTCACGACGTCGATTCTTTAACCACGTTAAAATTTCCCCATATTGTAGATTTAAGATGGCGGACTCAAAAACACCGCCCAGAATAAATAATTGTGATTTCTTCAATGAAACATTTAATAATATTTTTTATCAGTTATAAAAATATTAAATTGTAAAATGAAAAATAATTTAAAACATATTTAAAATCGATTGGATTTTAGGTTTGTACTTTTTATTTAATTATTCGAATAGTTAACACGCCGCTATATTATAAACCAAGCACATCGATATAATTCATGTTTTTTTTGACAATTGTTAATAATTATTCGGTTTTTGTAAATGTCAAATTTTTTAAAAATATTTAATCATATATATTAATATTTAAACGAAAATTTTTATTTTATTTTATTAATAATATTTAATTAATTAAAGTTTTTTTTTTAACAAATGTGTAAACTAATAGTTTTACAGGAAAGATGTATTTGTGTTGCGCATACATTATTCAATTTAACTTTGAATACTAATAGCAAGTGTCAAGACATCCCAAGGGAATTTGGGACCATTAACTTTTCCTTCTATGAATGAAAGAGTTTTTTTTTTTTTTTTTCAAATATGTAAAATTTATTTTTAATTTTTATATATATATATAAAATGATTAAAATCACTATTAGTAATCATTTATTGTATTTATAGGTATATTAATATTACTTATGATGTCATTAATGATAAAAGAATTATATTTTAAAGTATTAACTTTTAGTCGGAAGTAGTAAATTACCTAAAATGGTAATATTTTTTAAATTCTTATTATTAATAACGGTTCGGGTGGTATTTACTTAATTTCATACTTATTTTTTTGACAATATTATTGTTGTTACATGTTGTAATTACTTCATTAGTTATATATATATATATCATAGTGATACTGTTTTTTCAGATTTTCATTATTTGTCCATGACGTAAATTTCACAAAGAGTATAGTTGTCGAAGGAATCGATAATTTGCTGATGATTCATCATTCCATAAATCAACATTCACGCATATAAGTATATAAATCTGTAGATGTGTTGTAATTTATAAGAAAAAATGTTGGCGAAAAAGGATCTCATTAAATTTCATTATTGTTATTTATTTTTCTTCATATTGCTGTCATTAATATTTATAGTACCATTGATTACTGCCAATGGAGATTATAAGATAGATTATGTTAATATTCACGGTCCGAACAAGACTCAGCTAGGGAGTAATTTAACTTTAAAATGTGTTTCGTCGCCAAACAACAGTATAGTTTGGTGGAGTTTTAACGGACAAAACATTACCAGTCAAGAAAGATTTCACATTCAAAAAACTGTAGTTGATTTTAGTGTAGTTTTAAAATTAGTCGTAGCCAAAGTTGAAAAAGTAGATATTGGTAATTATTCGTGCCATGTTGTTTTACCAGAAAACAATGAATTACAAGCTTCTAAAAATATTTTTGTCGATGTAATATTAAAAGGAAGAGTTTTGTCATCGAATACAGTTCGAGTATTGAAAGAAAAAGATGCCACATTAAAATGCGAAATGGAAGGATATCCTTTGAGCAATCCGGAATGGAAAATTGAAAAATCTGGATTGTCCGATTTGCTTCCTCAAAATATTCATAATAATTTTATAAATGAAACTTATTTGGAAACTGAATTGAGTTTTCAAAACGTGAATCATCACGATAATGGAAGTTACATTTGCAGGGCTTTGGGCCCCGATGGTTATTTTCAATCTTCGGTGCATCTTTTCGTTTTAGACAAGCCTCAAGTTGTTATAGACTTTGTCAAAGCTGTTGGTGCTAATGTACTTTTTTTCAATTGGACGGTAAACGATGGTAATGATCCGGTTAAGGAATTTTATCCACAGTATAAGAAAAATGGCTCAAACGAATGGGTTTATTACCCGGAAAGAGTTGGCGGAGGCAACACGAGTTTTTTATTACAAAATTTAAATAAAAACACCCTGTATCAAGTTGGAATCAGTGCGAGGAATTCCATTGGTAGAGGAGAAGTTTACACTCGCGATGAATGGGTTTCGACGTTGGAAAAAGATCCGACTTTTGTACCGGAAGTAACCGTAAAAGGAACAACTTCGAATTCTGTTTCGTTGGGTTGGACTCAGCCTCCTCCTGATGTTAAAGATTACGTTCAGTATTATCAAATCATTTTGCAAAACAATGAAACAAAACAGGAAACCATTCATCCTTCGTCATTTATGAATGCTTATCTTTTTACAAATCTCATTTCCGCCACGAATTACAAAATTAAAATAGCCGCATGCAGTGAATATTTGAAAAAGTGTGGAAATTGGTCAGAAGAAGTGAACGGAACTACTTTGGATGGAGTTTCTGATCCGCCAATTAATGTATCGGTTCAATGTCGTTTTGATAATATAAGTCACGCTAGTTTTGTATATGTGACTTGGCAGCCGCCTGCGAATCCTTATGGTCAAATTACTCATTACAATGTTATTTTGCAAGGCGTTGCCAATTTTCGAAATGACAAAGGTATTTTCGAGAATATGACGTACGGACCCAAAGCGAAAAGTATCGCCGCAGAAACAACGTGGGCTCGATTTGAAGTCGTTCCACCTAATACTAATTATACCATTCACGTGTCCGGAGTCACTAGATCACGTCACGTGGGAAGAGAAGAAGTGAAACATTGCTCAATGCCGCCTACCATTCCAGAAAAGGAAAAACTATTACGAATAGATTGGAAAAAAATCGAATCGGAAAAGGGTAAATGGTTGTTCAGGTTAAATTTACAAAGGGTGTCGGAACGTAACGGAGCCATTTGTTGTTACATGGTGTACGTTGTAAAATTAAGGCCCGGACAGCGAGCTTCGGATTTACCCAATCCGGAAAACATTCCTCTGTCGTCATATGAACAAGTTCACAGAAACATTTCCGGCGGTGCTTACATAGCCGAAACATTCGACAGTTTGTCCCTTAACGAAGAAATATTTCTCGGAGATGGAAAGACGTCAAATTTGAATAATTCTCCTTGTAAATACTGCATCAATATTCATCATATAAAAAAGGCTTCGACCACTGCTTCGCCGCCTGTTGTCATTAATATTAATCCCACCGACAGAGTTAGTCTGAGTGGACTACAAGTCACGGACAACAAAATTCTCCATTCATTAATTACTACGAAAAAAAATTCAATTTTGTCGACGACTCCTGGACCTACGCCAGCTTCTTATTTAGGAGAATCCAATGATTTAAAAACGAACGACATATTTAAAAGACTTAAAAGAACGTCTTTTCAACCAGAAAATGATTTTGTCATTTTCGAAAGCACCACTCCAACAATAAACAGTTTGTCGTCGTCGTCGTCGTCATCCGTGAACGACATTGCCTACGACGGAGTTTTAGATCGTCATTTTAATTACACGGGATTCGTTGAAATAATAGTTTACGGTGAAAATGGAAATTTTATACCGGCTTACAGTAAATATTTTATGCCCATGTGTCCGGGTCCGACAATGTTGACCGCCATCGACAATTCCAGACAGCTGACCATCGCTCTGTACGTTTTAATTGGTTTAATAATCGTAGTTTTTATACTTTTGATAATTTTATTCGTTCTTCACAATTACACGAAAACTGTGGCGGAAGAGCAAGGGATAGAAATGACGTTCACAAACACTCTCATGCATTTATGCCGAAACGTCGGAGGAAGGCACGTACCTATTTCTTCGAGTCCTCCCGACATTCCACCCATACCGAAAGCAGAATTGGCCGCGGCCGTCGCTGAACTACATCGAGATTCCGATTATGGTTTTCAACACGAATTCGAACTTTTACCCGATCGATTTCCGGATCGTACTACGAGAGCATCAGAAGCGAGAGAAAACTTTTACAAAAATCGTTATCCGGATATAAAAGCTTACGATCAAACGAGAGTGAAATTATCGACCGTTGATGGAATAATTGGTTCTGATTACATAAACGCGAATTACGTCATGGGATATAAAGAAAGGAAAAAATTTATTTGCGCTCAAGGACCCATGGATAACACCGTCAACGATTTTTGGCGAATGGTTTGGGAACAGCATTTGGAAATGATACTCATGTTGACGAATTTAGAGGAATACAGCAAGACGAAATGTGCCAAATATTGGCCGGATGCTCAAACGGGAGAGAAAAAATTCGGAGATTTCGTCGTGTCGCACGTGCACGAAAAACGATATTCGGATTATATAATTCGTGATTTGAAACTTCGACAAGTGTCGGCGGAATCCCCGGTCGAAAAGGAAAAAGACGAGGAAAGAATGATTGTTCAGTATCATTATTTGGTTTGGAAAGATTTCGTTGCTCCCGAACATCCATCCGGAATCCTTAAATTCATCAAACGAATCAACGAAGAATATTCGCTGGAAAAGGGTCCGATATTGATTCATTGCAGCGCCGGCGTCGGTCGTACTGGAACTTTGGTGGCTCTCGATTCTCTCCTCCAGCAATTGAACGAAGAAAAACAAGTGGCCGTATTTAATACCGTTTGCGATTTGAGACACCAAAGAAATTTTCTCGTACAATCACTCAAGCAATACATATTCATTTACAGAGCTCTGTTGGAAGTGTCGCAAAGCGGAGACACAGAAATCAAAATGGCATCGTTGAAAAGTCACGTGGAAAAATTAAAACAGAAAGAAAGCGGAAAAGACAAATGTATGCTGGAAGAGGAATTCGACAAGTTGGAAGTTTTAGTCAACGATCGCGGGAAAACGTACAGCGTGGGGAGCAGCGAAGAAAACAAAATGAAAAATCGTAGCGAAGACGTCATTCCATACGATAGAAATCGCGTCATGTTGGCTCCCATTCCCGGAAAAGATCATTCGACGTATATAAACGCATCGTTCATTGAGGGTTACGACAATTCCGAATCTTTTATAATAACCCAAGATCCGTTACCGGGAACTCTAAGCGATTTTTGGAGAATGATATCCGAACAGTGCGTGTCGACGTTGGTCATGCTTTCGGATTTGGGTGACGGACCGAGGAAATGCATAAGGTATTGGCCGGAACCCGACGACGAATCCTGTTACGACAACATTAAAGTGAAATACATTCAAAGCGAAAGTTGTCCTTATTACACGAGAAGAGAATTCGCCGTGACGAACATGAAAAACGACGACAGTATTATAACGACACAGTATCAGTATAACGGATGGCCGACCGTGGAAGGAGAAGTACCCGAAGTCACGAGAGGACTCATTCAACTCGTGGATCAAACTCAAGAGAACAGAATCCTTTCTTCCGCGAGCGAGGGAGGGAGTCCGGGGGGTCCGATGGTGGTTCATTGCAATTTGGGAGCGGAAAGGAGTTCGATATTCGTCGCATTGAGCATATTGGTTCAACAATTGAAAACGGAAAAATCGGTAGACATATTTTCAACGGCGAGAAAGTTGAAATGTCAAAGACATAAAATGTTGGAAAATTACGTACAATACGAATTCCTTCACAGGGCCATTGTCAACTACGCGGATTTACATCACATGACTGAAAACGGAACTACTTCTCCTTTGTAAATCTTTTTTGCTATAAAAAAAACTAAAAACAGATTTTAAGACTGATGAAGGCCTAATTTAAAAAGAAAAGAAAATTTTCTAACCGACAGGCTTTCTTTTTACACGTTTTTTTTTTTTAATTTAATTAATTAATCGGAAAAAACAAATAATCAATAGAACGTTCTGACAATTTTCAAAAACAAAATGGCGGTAAAGCGTTTAATAATCGAAACCCGAACGATTTGTGTTCACTCGTAAGAGAATCTTTCGATACAAAGGAAATCAAAGGAATCTCGTCGTCGTCATTTCACCATCATCATTATTCTCATTATCATCATTATCATCATCACGGGACGAAATTTATTATTATTATTATTATTATTAAATTTTTTTTGTCGATGACGTTAAAAACAAATTGAATGAGGTTTAATCGGTCGTAATCGACAAAAACGTTTTTTTTTTTGTATTATTCGTGGCTCTAGTCAGACAGACGTTGAATTCTTCATATTGTTTTTTTTTTTTGTTAATGACACGTTGTTCGAAATGAAATAAAAATAACGGAATTTTTTTAATATTAATTATAAAGACTTTTAATGAATTTATTACTTGGAAAATCGACGGGGGGGGGCAAAGGGGGGGGAGGGAAACAAATGCCAATGATTTTTTTTTTTTTTAATTTTTTTTTTTTTTTTTTATACTACCATTTAGAGAGTAGAAATATTTATAGCGGTTTTTTTTCTTTCGATTTTTTTTTTTTTTTTAATTTTTATATAAATATTTATATATATATATATACATAAATGTATTAATTAATAACATTAAAAACAAACGGAAAATTTAAGAATTTTAAATAAATTTTTTTTTCTAACGTTTTTTTTAATACTAAAAAATTTAACGGATTTTCTAATCAAAAAAAAACTTTTTTTATACTTGAAATTTATAAATATGTGTGTGTG